TCAGTCTGGGAAACAACCAAAGTGGTCATTGCATTGATGTTTAATTCCACCACAGAATGCAGGAGGCCCAAAAGAGAGGAATTTGAAGAGAGCACAAGAGCAATGGTGGATACACTGCTGAGGTGGCAAGAAGAGCTCCACTCAGAAGAGCAAAGTTGTGGTTATGGGGGGATTTCAACCACAGAGGAGATTGACTGCGGAAAACCTTGAGCCACATGGGGTCCCGAAACACGGGAGCCAGGCTGTTGGACGCCGGGGGGTGCTGGAAAACCTCATGATACCAAACATGTTAAGGACATACCAGAGAGGAAGAAGAGGAGGATGAACCAGCAAGATAGGACCTGGTGTTCCCTGAGGCAGCTCCAGACATTGAGGGACATCAAGTAGAGAGTCCCCTAGGAGCTAGCGACCACGTGGTTCTGTGCTTTGAATATTTTATAGCTGCAAGTGGAGAGAATAACAGGAAGTTGAATGGGGAATAGCCTGACTTATAAAAGAGGGGACGACATAGGGTTGAAGAACTTCCTGCGGGAGGTTCCATTGGGACAGAGAACTGGCAGGAAAGCCCGTAAAATGAAAATGATGGAATATGTAACAACAAAATGCAAGGGACGGCAGTGGATAGGTTTATTCCCAGGGCAACAGTAACAACGGGAAGACCAGATCGGCCCTGGATTTTACCCGACGGTGTAAAATGGAGGCAAAAAACAAATGCAATTAGAGAATGGAAAAGTACGAAGGCAGAGAAAACACGAAAATAGGGAGATCAGTCGCAAGAGCCAGGAATGAGTAACGCACAGGTAAGGAGGTTCCACCTCATAGATAACCAACGACAGTAATGAACATGACATAGCATCGAGAATAAAGATGCCCGAAACTGTTGTATAGCCACACAGGAGGAGACAACAGTCAAAGACCTGTAATCAGATTAAGGACAGTAAGGTGGAGAATCACAAGAATGATGAGGAGTATGTGAGGAGTGAACAGGAGGATTTAAGGAAAGTATTCTACAGTATATACAGGAAGGGTGTGGGAAGACAGCACAGAAGGAACATCAAGAGGGAATATACCACAACGTGTTGGATGGAATACGAACAACTGAGGAAGGAGGTGATGAAGCTCCTAGTGACCTTTTACACCTCAAAGGCGATGGGACCGGACAAACATCTCCCATGGGTCTAGAGAAGGAGCAGGAGATGCTGTGCTGCCTCGAACACAATCTTCAACCTTCCCTTGAAATGGGCAACTACCCTGAGATAATGGAAGGCAGCATGTAGTCCCCATATTTAAGAAAGGAAACAGAAGGAACGAAGGCACTAAACTACAGACCTGTGTCTCTGACATTGTATTGTCGTTGCAAAGTTATGGAGAAGATTATCTGGAGGAGGAGTGTCTCGACACCTGGGAAAGGAACAAGTTATAAATGAAACCAGCATGGGTTCTTTGGAACGGCAAATCTTGTATCACCACCTCATGGAGGTTTTATGACAAGGTAAAGAAGTGGGTTAGGATTGCGTTTTCCTAGATGTAGGAAGGCCATTGTCACAGTTCCCCACAAAGAGATTTAGTGCAGAAGCTGAGGATCAGCGCATGTAAAAGGGAGGGCACTGCAATGATAAGGGACATACCTGACAGGGGAGGCAGCAACGAGTAATGGTACGTGAAGAGGTATCACAGTGGGGCCTGTTTTACGAGGGGGGTCAGTTCTAGGACCAGTTGCTATTTTTGATATATGTGAAACGACTTGTTGGAATAGACTCTGAAGTGTCCTGTTCGCAGATGACGTGAAGTTGAGAGAAGAATTAAATCGGACTACGAGGATGGAGGCAGGTACTGCAAAGAGACCTGGAAGGCTGGACATGTGGTCCAGTAACTGGCTTCTCGAATTCAATCCAGCCAAATGCAAAGTCATGAAGAATTGGGGAGGGGCACAGAAGACCGCAGACAGAGCATAGGCTAGGTGGACAAAGACTACAGACCTCACTCAGGGAGAAAGACCTTGGGGTGACCATAACACCGAGCACATCACCGGAGGCACACATCAACCAAATAACCGCTGCAGCATACGGGCGCCTGGCAAACCTGAGAATAGCGTTCCGATACCTTAATAAGGAATCGTTCAAGACACTGTACACTGTGTATGTTAGGCCCATACTGGAGTATGCAGCACCAGTCTGGAACCCACACCTGGCCAAGCACGTCAAGAAGTTAGAGAAAGTACAAAGGTTTGCAACAAGGCTAGTCCCAGAGCTCAAGGGAATGTCGTACGAGGAAAGGTTAAGGGAAATCGGACTGACGACACTGGAGGACAGAAGGGTCAGGGGATACATGATAACGACATACAAGATACTGCGGGGAATAGACAAGGTGGACAGAGATAGGATGTTCCAGAGAGGGGACACAGGGACAAGGGGCCCACAACTGGAAGCTGAAGACTCAGATGAAATCACAGGGACGTTAGGAAGTATTTCTTCAGTCATAGAGTTGCCAGCAAGTGGAA